CGGTAAACTAGCATTAAAGGGGTAATAATCAAAAGACGAACGATTTTTAATAACTCTTATTTTCATCACTTCAATTTGTTTTAGCCTCTAAACTGATGTACGAAATCAAACTAAACCAAAGTCTATTATATTGATTTTCATCCACAGCACGCATTCCTTCAACATTCTATACATTCTGTTGCAACACCGTTACTAATGTCGCAACTCCGTATATACTCTACTTCCACACTAAAGGAAGACATAACAGTATTGAGCACAAGTTTTAATAGTCATTTAAAAATAATGAACTAAACAATGTAACACCATGTTATTAAATAGAATTTCTGTAAATTAAGAATAAGTCACAATGCATCACAACATGACTAAGAAATTGTATGAACCAAATATCTGACAATTCATGTCTGGACATTAGTTGCAGAAGTTTCCACTTGGACAATATTCCAACTTTACAAATAAGTAATTAAATTACAGTAAGTTAATATAATACCCTTAAACGCTAATATCTCATTGACAGCGAGTGAGCCACATTACGTATTGCTTGTCTCACAATAATGTGCCCCACACCCAATTATTTCGTCTACTGCTTCATTGGTAACAGCGTTCAAGTGAAGTAGAGAAAACATTTATTGTGGCCATTTTTACATACCGGGTATATATTATACAATTCATGGAAACTAAAAGACTGTCAGTAAACCGTAAATTGCGATTTTTGATTTTAAATTGTAATCCTATAAAGAAAGCTACACAAACTTAGATTAAATATTCATAAATTGCAAATCGAAGTTAAGTTTTGGCTAAGCTGAGAAGCCAATATAAGTATAACCGTCACATTTTATTATTTTCATACATACACATCTAACATAAAAATATTCCTTGTATAATTGACAACAATACATAATGGCTATTTTCGACCCAACTTTCCTAAAACTGACCAGTCTTGAACTATTTTTTAATCATAATGTAATGCGACTGGACGGCTATTCATTTATTTATTTAGATGTAAATTTGTCTGTCTGTAAGCACGATGACTCAAAATGTCATAGATAGATTTTCATGAAATTAATTTGCCAGAGAGGCTGTCCTTGTACAAGAACGAATCTATTGTCTTCAGGCAAAGAGAGATGTGGACCCGGTTGCCACATAAACATCCATTATGGAAATAATTTTTCATTCATAACCCCAAAATGCTATGGATGAATTATCGTGTAATTTGTAGCAGGAATTGCCTTTGCCATAAAGACGAACCAATTACATTTTGGTTGCAATCTTGGTGTGGTTGCCATGGAAACAACTATTTCAGTAATGATTTTTTTCATTCAAAAATCGAGTAAAAGATGGTTTTTCATGACACTTTACAAAGAGTTGCCCTTGAAAACAAGTTCTAATCGTGAGAGGTTGGCTAAGATTTGCCAAATACTTAAAAAAGTTCAAAACAAATTTTCTTGATTTTTTAGTTATATGATTTTTATGTGGAATTTGCATCTAGTCGCTATGGAGATATATTTTGCGATATTATTTTTTCTGATATATATATGTATAGATTATTAGATTTCGTTACTTTTACTGTTTATATTTAGGAGAAGAAAAAGGTTTCTGAATCGAATTAAGCAATTTGTGTGTAGCATCAACACAAGTTTGAATGGCTGAAGGAAAGGCTTTAACTGTATACTCAGCAAAGCATTGTTATTATCATTCAATTTACATATTTGGTCACTATTTTGACCCTTGTTTTTTCAACTATAAAAGTATGTTAGCAAGTTTGTTTAGGTAGAAAGAAATGAAAGAAACATATTCACATGACAATGCATTTATATTTACGACTAGACTGCTGTGGCTGTCCAGTACTTGGAAATGAAGAAGTATAACCAGTTGTAGAGTGTCTAGACTGGGTAGTAGTAGATGACGACGAGCTGTAACCAGTAGTAGAGTATCTAGGTTGGGTAGTAGTAGATGATGATGATGACGAGCTGTAACCAGTGGTAGAGTGTCTAGGCTGGGTAGTAGTAGATGATGACGAACTGTAACCAGTGGTAGAGTATCCCGGCTGGGTAGTAGTAGATGATGACGAACTGTAACCAGTGGTAGACTGACTTAATGATGATGAGCTAAGAGCATTATTGACTACAAACCCACTATTAACATTAACACCTGTACTAATATCAGGTCTAAACAAATCTTTGGAATAAGTGATCAAATATTCTGGGTAACACTGATAGAGATCAAAAACTATGAAGATTTTAGGATTGTAAGTATTATTTACACAAGAGTTGTACAATGTCCCTGACACACTATCAATCTCAGGGGGTCTTTTATAAGAACTATTCCCTTCAGTATATCGACCAATCAATACATTGGCTAGAAACATATATTGATATCCACTCTCATCTTTACGACTAAAACTATCGCTATAACTTGCATCACGAGCAAAATACGCCCCTTCCCCGTAAACTGTGGCATGTTTTCCAGAGACTCTAAAATCAAAATTCTGTTTACAAATCTTCTGTACTGAGGATTTCTCTGTTCCATGGAAAAGTTGTTTCTCAATTTCTTGTCCCGGTTGTTTACGCTTCATATGCTTTTTCATCCTGTCACATAATAACAACAAAGTTGAATTTGAATGCATTAATTAAAACACAGAAAAAGGAAATCAAACAGAAAATTGTTTTAGCAGATACAAAGTGAATCCCTCACCAAATTATATAGCTAGTATGGATACTATCAGGCTTGATGATTTTAACAAGTTTTTACAAAACACGGCAAAAATGTACGCTAAAATGGAAATTCAGAGATATACTGTCTGGAATGGACACAGTTTCAAGAAAAATAACAATTTAAGGTACTAGTACGGGTAAATGGTAAATATATAAAAACAAATCAGCATTTTTAACCCAAACTCACTAAGATATTAAAAATCAAGCCATGCATGGCACAGTCCCCATTAGTTATCAAATCTAAGTTATATAGTTTTGTTTATAGTAATATAATCAAATACTTCATATTGAGAAAGGTTGTTCTGCAACAGCATTAATTAAAACAAAATGGCCATTTTGAATTTGATCGACAAACATGACATGAAGGCATGATATGGCATGATATATAATGAATATATAATATACAGCACATAGACGCATAGACGCACAGAGGTCAATCCATTAGTTCCTATTTTTGGACTGTGTCCGAATGGTGACTAAAAAGTATTAAGTAACTATTAAAAACTGTTAATTGATATAGATGGGATGCAAATTAACTAATTAACATATGCAGATTAATTCCGAAATAGTTTTAGGCATTCAACAGGAAAAGCAATACATGCATATCCCACATTTTTACCCATTTGAGAAAAGGATATCAATAAAACCTGCTTAAATTAGTTCATTAGTAGGCAAATTATGCAAATTATGCATACCCCAAGTTTTAACCTTTCACCACCAGACTTGTTCCCCTAAATTTGTCTGTACTTTTTTCTTATATATTCTTCAAGCCAACAGACAAAGTTTGAGTCTATTTTTAGTTTTTACTCAAACAATTTGGCTTTTTTGTCCCAATTGTCTGAAGGAATGCGTAAACCATAAACAGGACTATTTTGTGAATTTTTGATGAAAAGAGGGAACTTGTGGTGAAATGGTTAACTCATTTGAGCAAACTTGTTAGGAAATCAATAACACATGCTGA